TAAGCCTCATTTAAATACTGGCTCCCTTTTATGGTCAAGCCATGGTTGCCAGCTAAAGCACGCAAAAATTTAACAAAAATAATATTAAAGTAGCCAAGACATAGCCAAATATTGTAGCGCCACATCACTAGGGGGTCATATGAATTTGCTGACTAGAACAATTGATNGAATGAGTGTTGCCAGCTAAAACACGTAAAAATACTATTAAAGTAGCCAAGACATAGCCAAATATTGTAGCGCCACATCACTAGCGGACATTTGAATTTGCCGACTAGAACGGTCGGTTAACCGATGTGACGATTAATCGGGGGTCGGATAATCGATGCTCTACTGTATTTCATTTGATCAATCTTGATATATATTTTATAGCTTTTTATATTTATTTATAGAAAGTTTTATATTTTCTTACAAATATAATATATTATTTTAAATAAATGTATTAATATACTTATATTCACATTCAGAATATCAAATTTAACTTGTATAACAGGAATTGTATAACAGTATTGGAATTGTGTCAAGTTTTATCCCCCTTCTTTGCAAATCTCCACATTTTGAGACCTCCCGAATCCAAAAAAGTAAAAAAAAAAGACAAAAAGAATTCCATGGATCTATGTCCATGCTTGTGTGTTGGTGTCTATTTTGCTTAATATCTCAGGGTAGAGTAAAGCATGCATGTCATGACATAGTTGTATAGAAATTTTTTCAAGTTCAAAAATCACTTGAACTTTTTCTTTCTTCTACAAAAACATATCTGTTATTTCTGCTTAGTTTAAAAGTAACAACAAAATATTCAAAAATAATGACTTGTATTGATTTTATTTTTTATTAGAAGCTATTTCCATTAAGACTGCATTTATACAATGCTTAAAATATACATCATCCAAGTAAATTGACCTATTTTCATTAATTATNCCTATTGTACATTCTAGTTGTCAGAAACCCTACTGAGGAGGCCTTGGCAGGCAAAATGCATTTGGGGTGAAGTATATTTATATAAAAATAAAAGTGTTTTTCTTTGTGTTAACCTGTTTACCTTTTTCTTAATTTTTATACCAGTCTACAGACTCAGAATTTATTAAGCCTCCAAAAGTCAGAAACGAATGGAAAACTAGTAGTTTTCCGTGTACTAATGAATAGTACAATACAGTAAAAAAAAAAAAAAATGATAGATACCATTTTGAAGAATGATGTTGGTTGGTCCTTGAACAATTGGCTGACTGCTTCCTTGACTTCCACATCAAAGTTACAGTATTGTCCCTTAAGAGTTTTTTTTAAAGGTCCAAACAAATAAAAGCCACATAGTGACAGATCAGGGATATATGGAAAATGGTGCAGAACATCCCAACCTTTTTGTGCTGAAACATCCTGCACAAAAAGGTTGAAAAGTTTTTGCAACATGATTTTGTCATGCAATAAAATAACACCTTGAGATAGCACGCCTGGTCACTTATTCTTTATGGCTTTATGTAGCTTGTCCAATGTTGCATTGTAGTGGTTGGCACTGATGCTCACAAGGGTCTTAGAAACCACTAGTAAATGTCCCACAATGCAGTCATCATAACCTTATAGGCAGAATATGACTTGAATTTTTTGCATGTTGGTGAGTAAGAAGTGTTTCCATTGCATGCTTGCTCATCTTGGTTGGCTCAAAGTAGTGGCACCATGTTTTGTCACCTGTAATGATACATGACAGAAAATCATCACCCTCCACCTCGTATCACTGCAAGTGGTGCAAACTCAAACCCATGCATTCTGTGTTATCATAGTCACTGAGCAAACATGGTATCTATTGTGCACACACCTTCTGATACTAAAGCTTCTTCATAACCACCATTTGAACTGTTCTAAATGACATATGAAAGGTAAGAGCAGAGAATGCTATTCCTCCGCTAGAGAATGTAAGGTCTGACGATGGTCCACACTTATTGCTGTATCAATCTTCCTGATGGTTTTGTCTATTGCAACATGTGCCTGGCCTGGCCATGGTAAATCTTCCTTTTTCTGATGTCCTTCCTGAAACATTTAAGCCCAATCTGTCACTGTTATTTTCGACACCGGTTCGACCACTGATCGACCTTGGACAGATTCTGAATAATTCCCACTGATGTTTTCACTACTCTATGCTGAAAATAAAATGTGAGAGACATCTGAACTTCTTCCTGCTTGTTCATTGGTGTATGCTTATCATGCCACTGTGATATCATTCCCCTCCTCTTGCACTAGACCGCGTGATGGGATGAATGTACAGTAGAGCATCGATTATCTGACTCAATTGGGGACTGGGTTGGTCGGATAACTGAAAAAACGGATAACCGAAAAATATGAAAAAATACATTATAAGTATAGTATATCTCATGTAATTAGTATATTAGCTATTAACCTACTTTGCGTTGAATTTTCATCGATGTTAAGCCCAACAAAAATTTTTTAAAAATAATAATCGTCGTTATTGTATCGTTAAAAATTAGAATTAAGCCTCATTTAAATACTTTCTTCCTTTTATGGTCGAGCCATGTTGCCAGCTAAAACACGTAAAAATACTATTAAAGTAGCCAAGACATAGCCAAATATTGTAGCGCCACATCACTAGCGGACATTTCAATTTGCCCACTAGAACGGTCGGTTAACTGATGTGACGGTTAATCGGGGGTTGGATAATCGATGCTCTACTGTATTTCATTTGATCAATCCTGATATATATTTTATAGCTTTTTATATTTATTTATAGAAAGTTTTATATTTTCTTACAAATATAATATATTATTTTAAATAAATGTATTAATATACTTATATTCACATTCAGAATATCAAATTTAACTTGTATAACAGGAATTGTATAACAGTATTGGAATTGTGTCAAGTTTTATCCCCCTTCTTTGCAAATCTCCACATTTTGAGACCTCCCGAATCCAAAAAAGTAAAAAAAAAAGACAAAAAGAATTCCATGGATCTATGTCCATGCTTGTGTGTTGGTGTCTATTTTGCTTAATATCTCAGGGTAGAGTAAAGCATGCATGTCATGACATAGTTGTATAGAAATTTTTTCAAGTTCAAAAATCACTTGAACTTTTTCTTTCTTCTACAAAAACATATCTGTTATTTCTGCTTAGTTTAAAAGTAACAACAAAATATTCAAAAATAATGACTTGTATTGATTTTATTTTTTATTAGAAGCTATTTCCATTAAGACTGCATTTATACAATGCTTAAAATATACATCATCCAAGTAAATTGACCTATTTTCATTAATTATTAATTTTAAGAGCATAAATTGATAGCATTTATAGAAAATTTTAATATAATTACTACCCCAGTGATTATAACAAAATGTCCAAAAGTCAAGCATGGCTTTAAAAATTCAAGTCTCAGTGAATTTTGAACAGAAACACATATAGTTTTCATAAAAACATTCAGAACAACAGAATATTTTCTTGAAGTACAAATATTTTGTAGAAATTTTCCACAACTAGATGATGGTTAGATTTATTAGAAAATATTCTTTTTTGTAGAAATTTTTGAGGCCCCTTGAAACTTGAAGTTCTAAGCAAAAAGGTAACATAGCTTGCTTGTAAATATGACTTTGATGGGACAGATGTCAAAGCTAATGCTTTTTAATGCAAAGAGTGCAATTATATTTTCATTTATTTTTATAATATTATTTGTAATGATGCTTCCCGTTAGCAATAATTGTTTGTAAATTTCTCGATAAACAGCTACAAGCAGCATATATCATTATATCGGACTGTAATATACAATTAATTTTTTATGTTGACTAGTTACAAGCAACTCAGATACTAGTCCTATGATCTTGATCCAGATAAAGTAGCCATTTTGTAAAAATGCAGCTACCTCTGTAGTTCATGAAGAATGCAAATACCAGTGGTTCCTAAAGTGGGTGTTGAGTAAATCTTGGGTGAGTGGAAAGCAAGTGGGCAGCAGAAGGTGCCAGAGATGTGGTACCAAACACTGACCGTAGGCAAAAGTCGCCAACAAGTTTTCCCTTTTCTCTGTCAAAACGAGTAAGAAACATTGCATTTAATGGTTTCCAGATGTGGAAAATAATGTATGGACACAAAGTGGGAGGTTTATAGAAAAGGTTTTTCTAAGAATATTTCCGAGCCTTTCTCACACAGGAGAAAATGGGTTAGGGGACATTGGGTATAACTTTATGGAGGCAAGAGGGCGGTGACTCGAAAAAGTTTGGGAATATCTGCTCTATATGATACCCCTCTACTCTATGATACACCTTGTAATCATTTGGGCAGTTGGTGGCAAACAAAAATAATAATAATTCATAAGCATTAAATTGCTTGGAATTTGCTGTTTACCATTATATTGTAGCTTTCCTATTTTTATCTATTACATAAGCAGACCAGTTACAAAAATTGCTTATCTTATGTGTAAGTGAATTGTAAGAATTGTTTCATATATTTAATTCTATTTAATATAATTATTCTTATTACAGATAAACTAATATTATGAAAATTGTGGTGGGTTTGCAATGTAGATGCTAAAATCAGAAATATTGTCATAAATCAAACAATAAGGCGAGATTAATTATTGGGCTAGAACATGTTAATTAGTTAATTAATTTCATAGATACTATATAATTTGGATTAAAAGTAAGCAGTTAAATTGTCATCTTGTATTGAATTTAATTATTATATAAATTATTTAATTTGAATTCAAATTAAATAATGTATACAATTTTTAAATTAATGGTAATCTCTAAGCATTACTTATAATGACAGACATACAATGTGATTCACAAGTTGTCACATCTTTTCATTTTGCATTACTATTCACATCATCAAAGCAAACAATGTTGTTCTTAGCTAGTTTGTGTGGCTTTAATTTAAAGAGCTTTATGCAAACTGGTAATTACATTAACAGAAACAATAATAATCAAAATAATCCATAAATACAAAATTACAAATGAATTAGCTACCTTTCTAAAATAAAAACCAAAAGAAAAAAAAAAAAAAATGGAGGATTACTTTTCTGCAATGTATGAGGAAATGGAGTTTAGTTTCTTTACTTTTAATTTCAATAAGAAAACATTCATAGAAGAAACCTTCAACGTATTTCTATAATAATATTAAAAAAAGCATTTAAAGTGAAAAACCTATAACTTAAACAATTACATAAATAAGTTTTTACATTTAAATAATAATTGAAAGATATAAATAAATTATTCCAATACCTTTTAAAGTGTTAAGTTTTGGCAGATTTTTCTTGTGGCAAAATTTTCTGTTTATGATATAATTTCAAAGCACTTACCTTTACTCTGTTTTCTTTATAGAGATTTCTAGCAAACATGAAATTAAACCTTATTGATAAAAAGCAAATGATAAAGTTCTTGGAAAGCATACTAGAAGCGTGCAATGCCAAAATGTTATAAATGCCAAAAAACAAACTTTTCAAGAGAGATAAAAAACACTTTTTCTAGTGAATGAATTAATTTCAATTTTACAATAAAATGGTAAAAAACTCACTAGGTTACAAATTCTCTGGAATATCAAGATGATGTAAATATAAGTTGTAACATTTTAAGTGCCAAAAGTTATGACTTGCAGTTTGGCACTTTAAACGTTGTGACTTCACATAAATTAAACTTTAAAATACAGCCACTTACAGCATCACTATGATTACAATAATTTTTTGCAGCTTAAAACATTGCATTAGAATTCAATTCTTCAATAAAATGTATTTAAAGAAAAATGGCATTGCACACTTCACTTATGCTAAATTAAAAACTCTTCTTAGAAGTTTAAAAATTTTCTTAATGTTAAATCAAAACATTATTTGAAGTAAACACAATATAAAATATAAAAAACTGATGAAAAGTTTTACCTCACTAATGAATAGTTTAAAGTGAGTAGAACAAGTAGAAATACATAATTAGTTCTAATAGCTTCATTTTCCATAATTCCTTAAACAAAACTAATTTTCATAAACAATTGTATGTTGGAAATCATACATGCATAGTCTATCTTATTTTTTCATTTCAACTAATGTTTTAATAAGAACATAGACTAAAGGGAGAGAAAAAATATTTTTGTAAATGGCTTAATGGTAACATTTTGTTTAAAAATAAACTTTAGGTATTCTTTTTTTCAACTCTTACCTGATTTATGTAAATTTCTCACTATTTTTATAAAGTTGTATACATGAAACTTGTGTAATTTCTAAGAAAATAAAGATTTCTTGGTGAATTGATATAACATTATATTCAATATATATACATTATTCACAATTAATATAAGCCTCAATAACAATTCTACTCAATTTACACATGCTATTAACACCATCCCAATAGTGCTTTATTTTAATGGAACACAATGTGATGAATTATAGTGGTTTACTTATGCACTTACCATAATAGATTTTCTGCACTACAAACTCAGAAAAAAAATCTGTTAGATTAATTAAATTAGCTTTAATAAATGAAATCCAAACATATTAGATCACATGTATATTTTTTTATCTCATTTAGTTACCCTGCATTTTCTTATACTAAACAAGCTATTCAGAAATTTGGATTATCTAATGGACAAGTTTCAAACTTAATACATTATGATCATTCCATTATGGCTAAATATATTCACAAGAATTTGTTTCATGTGCCAGTCTTGTCCCACTCATGCTACAGAACTATGATTCCTTACTGATCTCCCTCAGACTAATGTAATTTTTGGATCATTTAAAAAACCAATCTGAAACTTGTTATGTTACCTGTTATTTACTATGAACAAAGTAACACCATTAATGCAAAACTCATTACTTTTTCTGGATTTCTTTTGTACAGCCTCCTCAGAAAATTTTGCTGTTTGATCTAGGTCAGTGATGGCAGACTTGTGACCCACAGGACAACTTATGTTTTTATAAATTATAAAAAACATATTTGATATATTTCAAAACTTTGCATATGTAGTGTGAAAGTAGGCTCCTAAAGTTGTAAAAAGTCTTATAGATCAAAGATTATGAACCTGAGAAAAATTATCATTAAGTAAACAACAGATTTCCCATTAAATATTTGTTTTCATTATAATCACATTATTATTTTCTTTTCACTTACATAGTTTGTTATTATTTTTCTGATATAGATTAAAAAGGTAAAGTAAAATCTGTAAGTGCATTTCTTTGTTATTTTTTTTTAATTACAGTCGACCCCCCTATAACACTGTTGATAATTCTGTTTTATATGAATTCCCTGTTGTATGAGTCACTTAGATTTTACAAATACGTGAGCCGTTCACACCCCGGCACACGTATTTGTAAAATCTAAGTGACTTGTACAACATGGAATTCATATAAAACGGAATTATCAACAGTGTTATAGGGGGTCGACTATAATCAAATTAAATGTTTGACTTATGAGTTGGAGTTACTAAAATTCTAATTCAATTTTGACTCACCTTCAGGAAAAGCATTTAATATGTTTATTATATTGATATTTTCTGTTGTATTCAATATGTTTTTTGATTATTATTTTTTTTATTTATTTAAGTTTAATGTTTCAACTGAAGAAAACCGATAGTAGGTCAAAAATGTTTTTGGTTAATAACAGTAGACCCCTGATAACACGGTAGATACGTTCCGTTTCGTACGAGTCACTTAAATACATGAGCCAATCACAGCCTGGCACATGTGCAGTTTAGGGACTACAGCTGTTTGAAAGGTTTTCTTTCATAAAATTAATCGATTCTAGACTAATTTGACTCAACATTTCCAAAACACGTATAATTTTTTGGGAATAATCCATATAAACTATGCTATAAACAAAAAGTTGTAGGATTACTTACCGAGTGTGCACCGTTTGACGTCGCCATTGCTTAAGCATGTTTTCGTTGCGGAGCAGCACACCAAATAGCAGGTGCAATTTCTGATAAGTTATTTTTCTGCGAAAAATTTGTTGAACTTTGGAGACATCATTAATAGAAATAATTTTTATGGCCGTTGAATAAGAAATGTTTTTTTCACAAGAAATGTATAAAATTAGGTACTGTATTAGACTTACAGTACCTAATTTACATACTGTACAGACGATAATAAACTCAACTTACCCGCCTAAACTTTCCGTAGCATGTAAGTAGTTCGGCTGCTTGTCTACTATTGGTCTAGATTCGACCAATCCTGTCGCGACACGAGTCAGTGATGACCGCATTTTATGAGTCTCTTTTAGCATCTTTATACAAATACTGTCACAATTTTTTCACCGCAATATACGAATCCACATTATATAAACCCGCGTTATAGGGGGAGTCTACTGTAAATGGCTTTTAGTAGATCTGCTGCTTGTTTAAACTCAACGGTTTGTGCAATATCCATTATTGGTCTAGATTCGACCAATCCTGTCGCAACACGAGTCTGCGATAACGTTTTACCATATTATACAAGTCTCTTTTAGCGTGTTTATATGAACACGATTGCAATTTTTTCACCATGTTATACGAATCCATATTATATGAACCTGCATTATAGGGGTCTACTGTAAATATATTGCTGGAGTTCTACAAATATACTGCTTTTTACTTTCCTGGTTGTTATATAGAGGTTGTAACAGAGGGAAAGTATAGCATAGCAATTAGTCAAAAACTGATCCCCCAAAGAGTTTTTACTTTTTGGACTCAGAACACCTTGAAATGGCAAGAAATGCAAAAAAATTTGGGAGTTTTTTCTTTATGTTAATATGTTTTGGGGCATGATTTTATTGACCCTCTTTCAATCTTAATAACTTCTGTTCTTTTTGTTGAAAATTTCTGAAATTTTGTAGAGAGGTTTGTGTATCTGATGATATTAAATTTTGGTGATTAAAAGCCAAGGGAGTGATGAGATAAAGAGGTTGTTTGTATCTCCAGTAGAGTCAGATTTAATGACAATTTTACTCATTATTAGCATTTACAATTTTTTTTATAAAACTCATTCCTACCCTCAAAATTAAGTTTTGCAAATTTTATAATAGTTAAAATTATAAAAAGCTTTTAATAAAATTATAATAGATGGTACCACCAAATTTTGTCAGGAAAGTTAAGCAACTCGTTGCTTGATTTTTTCATTTGGTTACTCCTACAGTTGTGTCATAGTTATTTTGCTGTAGGAAAAGGTTCACCATCACTGACCTAGGCAGACAGGTAGAGATCATTTTGTCAAGGTCACATGATATTACTGTTATAATCTTATTAAGTTAATCAAGAAGCAAACAGATCACACGATGTTAATATACAAACTTGTTGCATTACTCAAAAACCACAATAATAATAATTTTTTCAATCCTAAAATTTTTACCACTTTACTTGCAAAATCAACACTCTCCCAAAAATTTAGTCCTGTTTTTTTTATTAAATAAGCTTTAAAAAAAACCCCATTTTTGTGATGTAACTGGTATTTTGTGTCACAAAATCCCTTTTATCATACAAAATACCAGTTATATCAGTATGATGCAAACCCATAAAGAAATTTCTGTTGACTTGTAATCATACAAAAATGATTCATCATCAATAAAACAGCAACGTGTAGAAATGTCATGCAGTTGTGTGCATCACTGCAAGTGATCTTTATGTCAAATGTTGACCATGATGAATGTTGTTATTGGAGATTATCCATTCAATAAAAAATAGCAGCTTAACTGCTTATCTTTAGCTCAAATTATGAAATATCTATGAAACTAATTAGCCAAGTTTTAGCTCAATAGTTAATTCAGTCTTACAGTTTGATCATTACATATATGTAATATCATAATTTGTTTAACATAATTACTTGTATCAATCATGTATATTTGGATAATGAAGACTTGGTCTATGATTCTTTTAGGTATTTTAATTGTAGACCTGATATATTCATTTACTAGAAAGAAATATCTCAAACTGAACTAAAATTATGTATCTTTGTAAATTATTAAGTTCTCTGTTGTTATAATTATAAAAGTTACAAAAGTATTATAACAAATTTGTAATTAATGTATCATTAATCAGGGCTTAAAGTGACTCACTTTTTTAGCTTTTTTTCATAGCTCCTCCCTTTTTTAGCTTTTTCTGAGGCAAACTTGCTTTTTTAGCTTTTATTCACTTTCCATGTGGAATTTATTTATTTATTTTTGTAAATCCATTCAGGAGCAAAATAGCGATCAGCACACCCCCATACTGCAATCCTTCAACATTCAAGCTCCAAGAAACATATAAATAAATGCAATGAAGCCTTTGGTCCCAAACAGTTAATACTGACGACTGCCCCTCAGATGTCTCAATGTCAAAGTATTAGTGTTGAAAATGTTGCTAGTGTGAGCAATATTGTAGACTCAGGTGCCAGTTCAGAACACCAATCATTGCAACAACCAGTGCTTCAACTTTGTAGTGCAAAAAATGGTGCTTACATTGCAGAGCTTATATGGACTATGAAAATGATAGCCAGCAATTATTAATTTGCATCATGTTATGATATAAAGGAAACAATCAATGCCAAGTGTGCAGACAATCTTCCAAAAGAATTCTCATTGTCACATCAAAAAGTGACAAACTTAATCACTGAAGCTTTGGCCGCATATTTCTTTGATCAAATGGTAGATGATGCACAATGGTCATATTATAGTATTTCTTATGATGAGACATGTAATGTAGAAGACAGAAAATAACTGAAAATACTGATTAGATACTGGTCAGAGGAACAACAGGAAGTTGTCTGCAGACATTTCCAGACCTTATTTATTGGGCAAGCAGATGCTGAAACAATTAAATCAGAAATAATACTGGCAATTGAAGCTGCATATCTACCTTTTGATAAATTACTGATGATTGGATGCAATGGATCAAACGTAAACAAAAAAGTATTGTGTCTAATAAATGAAATTCTGACAACTCGCAAAAAAGGACTTGCAGCATTCATACTATCCACAATGCCTTTTTGAAAGGCCTGAGAGTTGGGCGGAGATGGTGGTGATCTCATCATAGCAACACACAGCTTTTTTGATGGATGGCCATCTAGGTGGGATGA